ATGAACAATTTCCTAACTTTTCTTATATTGCAGAGTCAAGCAAATAGCACCCCTGCAAGTGGATTGTTCCAATTTGGTTCAGGAAACACTCCTGTCCAACCAGCCCCCTCTTTTGGGTTAGTATTGACTGTTGTTGATTCCTAAATGCTCTTATTTGACAACCAAGGGATTTTGAATCTTTAGTTATTAATAGATGTACCTTAACTCAATGCTGCAAGAGAAATGCTGTGCTCATTTTTTATTTATTTTTGAAATGTCTCAGCGCATAGATGGCTCTGTTAGTGCTTAGCCACAAAGTGGTCTATTAGTAGCCCTTGTGACCTTACCTGATTTCACCTTTCCTTGAATTGGCAGGAAAAACTTTCTTCTTCTTCTTCTTTTTTACCAATGCTATGAATATCGATGGTGTTATTTTTATTATAAACATTATGATTACTATAATGTTATAGTGTAAGGTAACGTAAGATGTTTTCGAAACATCATCATCATCAGCCAGAATCAATCCACTGCTTGACATAGGCCTCTCCCACTCTTTTCCAGCCATTTCTGCCTTGCAATTTTTGTTTCCAGTCTTGGCCACCATATTTCATTATTTGGTTACACCATCTTGTCATTGGTCTGGCCCTTGACCTCTTTATATTATCAATAGCTCAGTATGTTACTTTCTTTGTACATCTGTTGTCCTGTCTCTGACATATATAACCTTGCCCATTACCATTTCTTATTTTTGATGCACCCAAGTATATCTTCCACTTTTGTCTGTTCCCTGATTTACGTCGCCCTTATCAGATCTCTAGGTTAATTTCCAGCATCAATCTTTCCATCCTTCTTTGGGCACTTACTTGTTTCCTCTCCAGTAATTTGGTTGTAGTCCATGTTTCTGATCCATAGGTCATAACTGGGAGGATGCATTGATTAAAGACTTTTCTTTTTAACCCAATGGCGCCGGGTGTACAAAACAAAAAAAAAAACTCTACGCTTAAGCAAACAAAGGCAGCGCCCCGACTTTGAGCGCGTGAGTAGGGGACATCAGCCCGAATCACTGGCTCGCCGTGCTTTGGTGCGCCGCAGGCTCGTTTGGCTGCACGCCAGCTTTCGAGCGCTTTGTTTACACGCCGATCAGCGTCACCCGGCACCAAGGGGTTAAACATAATGGCAAGAAGCCTCTTAGTATGCTACTGTGTCTGCCAAAGGTGCTCCAGCCTAGACTGATGCATTGCTTTATTTCCTCTTCCCTAGAAGTGTTTGTCTGTACGAGTCTCCCTAGATATATATATACTTGTCCACTACCTCTTGTGCTTTGCCTTGTACATGTATCTGTTCGAATTGAAAGCTAGTGTTGCACTTGATCTTAGTCTTTTTCTTGTTCATTCTAAGTTCAGCTTTGACTTTATCTATTCTGATTATTTATTAATTGCTGCATTTCACTTGCAGATTTACTGAAGAGAACAATATCGTCTTCAAATCTTAGGTTGTTTAGGTATTTGTCTCCTATTTTGATACCTTTTCCGTTCCATTCTAGCTTCCTAAATATTGTCTCAAGGCAAGCTGTAAACAGTCTTTGTGAGATGGTGTCGTCCTGCCTAACACCCTTATTAATTGGTATTTTATCGGTTTCCGTGTGGAGCTTGATGGTTGCTGTCCCAACTTTGTATATATCTTCTAATATTTTACAGTATACCTCCTCTACTAACAGTCTTCGTATAGTCAAATGCCTTTTCGTAATCAGTGAATGCCATACACAGATGTTTCCTATTTTATTTTATTTTTTCTCTTATTTGGGTGAGCGTGTGGATGTGGTCTGTTGTTGAGAATCCACTGCAGAAGCCTGCCTGTTCTGTAGGCTAGTTAGAATCCAGACTGTCAGAGATTCAAGTTGGGATGGCTTTTGTGAAAAGTTTGTAAGTAACTGAAAGGAGGCTTATGGGTTGGTAGTTTTTTAGATACTTTCTATATCCTTTTTTATGTATCAAAATAATTGTTGAGTTTTTCCAGGCTGTCAGAATTTTTCCTTTGAGAAGGCAATTATTAAGAAGATTGGCTAGTTTCACTGTTGCAAATTCTCCTGCATCTATTATAAGGTTTATACTAATTTCCCTCTCTTCATGTGTTTAAGTGCTCTCTTTATCTCCTCTGTTATGATATTAGGTACGTCTCTAGTTACCATGTTTGTTTTTATCTGTGACTGTTCCCTGTAAGTCTTCCACCACTCATAGTTTCATTAAGTGTCACTTCTCCATCTGGTTTCATTTTTGCATACATTTGATTTCTCCCTGTTCCAAGATTCCTTTTAGCTGTTTTCTTGCTGGTACTTGAGATTACTTGTCTCGTTTTATTATATTTGTATTGAACTTCCAAACATCTTCTCTCTCCTTTTTATTCATAGTCTTTGTTAGTTCAGCTAAATTTATTTTGTCCCTGTTTGATGATACTTTCTTGACCCTATGTTTTTGCATAAGCTGTTTAGTTTCTACCGAGAGCTTGCTGGAGTTTTGCTTGTTGTTCTTACCGCCTACTACAATTGCAGCTTCCTTATTTGTTATTGAACCGTTTGTTGATTTGGTCAATATTAAGATCTTTGAAGCTGAGAAGTGAATATCTGTTTTGGATGTTCTGGCCAAAGTCTGCTGCTCTGATCTTCAAGTTAAGCGAAATTTGGCTTCAGTTTTCATATGAATTTGTTCCTTTCCCATCTGAGGTGTAGTTTAATTTGGACTCTGGCCATTCTGTGACCACTGCCTACATTTACTCTATTAACCTATTGCTGACAGGCATGCCATGCTATGCCATGCCCACTGTGAGTTTACTTATTTGATTGTGTTTGTACATAGATGGCTACACTTGTACTAAGCCACCAATGAGCCAATTACGAGTACTGCCTCTCTCGCCCGTTCACCCTTTTCTTTTATTTTCGAAAATATTTTACGTTATCTTATTTTGTTATTACTAATGTTTACAACATTGTAGTAATTATAATGTTTATTAATGAAAATAACACCATCGATATTCATAGCACTAGTAAAAAATATATTTTCAAGCCAATTCAAGGAAAGATGAAATCACGTAAGGTATAGCCATCTATGTGTAGACATTTGACAAAAAAAATATAAAAAATGAGCACATCATTTTCCTCATTTTTTATTCATTTTCCCTGGCGGCAAAGAGTTAATAACTTTTTAGTTGTTTTTTATTGTGCCTACTTGAAATTATGAAGTCGGTTTCATTTTTGATGTCTGATGGGGACTTCCATGTCCACTTCCGCTCAAGTTTTTTTTTGAAGAATGCATTCATGATATTGAATGATTAAGCCTTGCAAAATTGATTCTTTATGCATCCCGATCATTAGTATCATCAAGTACATCCATATTTTGTGCAGTTATAATTTTAAACAAAAAAAATACAGTTCTGCTGCTTTTTCTGTCATGTACAATACCATAGCTTGAAAAAAAACACTGTCAACCTCTGATGAAGATGCCACTGTTATTGTGCAGCACAATACAACACAATTGAATCTGACCTCCACCATTCAACAGCTGACATACACTTGGTCACAGAATCACTTAATTGCATGAAAAGGAACCACTTTGACTTGAAATTTCATGATGACTAGGAATTTTCATTGGCATAGTCAGTAGCATGATTCACTTCTGCACTAAGCCGTTTTCCTTGAAAGGCAAGGTGACTCAGGTTTTCAAGTAGATGTGCTTGTGTTATGACTTGGCTGAACCTCTTTGCAGCAGCCACAGCTTAAGCAGTTGTTCATTCATCATTCTGTACTATGTCCAAAGTCATTGGTTCTATTCATGCAAGTAGGTACTCTGCTGACTGCTTCAATGTTAAGTTAGACACCACTCTAACTCTTGACATAAATCTGCTCCCTATAAACTTTACAAATTTACATGATAGCTGGCCAGTTCTTTATGTATATCATCAGACAAGACATTGCCTACCTTCCTGGCAGTGTCTTGCAGTAGCAAAGTGATTGTTTCTAAAGTATTTTACTATATATACTCCATATGCTCCTTAATATTGCCAATTTCCAGATCATGAGCCAGAAAATTCAGAATGTGTGCAGTACAGCCATATATGTGTTTTTGTTTGTGTGTGTGTAATATATATATATAAATATATAGATATATATATATATAATGTATGTATGTAAAGTTTAGCCAATATTACATATCATCCACACCTCTTGAGATGAGCGCCTCTAACCTTCATTATCTCTTGCAGTGGCGGCGGTGACAATCCCTTCAGTGCCCCTGCCCCTCCCAGCGGTCGCGTCATGAAGAAGGCCGTGAGACGCACCCGCAAGCCGTGATCAGGGCACAGCAGCAGGAGGGTTTCCTTACCAAACGTGTCTTTAAATTATTTGTTCCATGCATTTTATTTTTAATGGATTCTGGGTCTATTCCTCTGTTTCTGTTTTCATTATTTATAAAATGAAGGTCTTTAATAAAAAGAATTTATATATATACACATGCTGTCGCTTAGGCTAAAAAGAAAGAGGTGCTTTAACAATGAGCGTTTTATCATTCTTTCATGCCTCCCTCCTTCCTTTCGTTCCCTCATTTTGTTCTCTCTTATTTTAGCCTTTTTCCTTCGGCATTTTTCTAGAAACGTGCCCCCCTTTTCGACTTCATTTTCCACGGTCATTCAGTTAGGATACTGGTCAAACTAAGTGCTTGATGTAGGAAAGCCTGATGTATAATTTGCTTTTACATTTTTGTTCCTTATTGTGATACAAGAAGTTGAACTGCAAAGGTATCTTGATATATTGCTTAGAGATTCTGCTTTTTTTCTTCTTCTTTTTCCTTTCCCATTTCTTATGTAACTTGAGTTGTTTTTTATATAAAATGTTAGCAAAAACTTTCTTAGTCCTAATAATAAAAAAAAAAAAAATTGTATACCCAGTCAGTCAGACCTGATTTTTAACAATAAGAACAAAAGTTTCAAAACCAATGTGGAGGGAAATAATTACTCTAGGATTGATTACGCTTTTTTTACTCGATATCCACCCTGGAGTGTAATCTACTATCATGCATCTCATCTTGTGTGTCTGACTAGAAGTGGTCTCTTAAAAATAAAAAAAAAAAAATTGTATACCCAGTCAGTCAGACCTGATTTTTAACAATAAGAACAAAAGTTTCAAAACCAATGTGGAGGGAAATAATTACTCTAGGATTGATTACGCTTTTTTTATTATTATTATTATGATTTTATTTACTGTGGTCACTATTTTACACCAGTGACTGCTTCCAATGAAAGAGTGGGTATCTCATGGTTGGTACAATTTGGAATTTCAACTAGTTTTGTAGGAGCTCCATAGATACGTACATTAACATCACGTTGGGATCTGTGTCGGAGAATAAGCTACAAGTGTATATAGACTCGATATCCACCCTGGAGTGTAATCTACTATCATGCATCTCATCTTGTGTGTCTGACTAGAAGTGGTCTCTTAAAAACCGTGAAACGACTTCTATGTTATACCTTTCAGCAGCAGGGAAGAGTGTCTAGTAATAAAAAAATAAAATATAAAAAAAAAATGTTAAAAAAAAAAATGTGGCATTGTGTGAGGACTTTAGGTGTTAACATACCCCCCTCCCACACACTTGTGTATGTAAAAACCTGTCAATTTGGATTCCACCAGTTTCCTCCCCCCTGGGACGTTGCAGCTAAATTTCACCTGCCTATGAAGGGCAGGTAAGGACGACACTTTCGTTTATTTTTTTACAGTGAAAGTTTAAAAAGTGGGAAAAAGCACAAATTGGAATTAAAGGACATTAATGCAACATAAGGGTACCATGGGATGGAAAATTGCTTATGTTAGTATGTTTCCTTTTGCACAGGAATGATTATTTTGTTAATTGCTTCAATATTCACAAGAGACATGAAAGCCAAACATTTGGACTCCTGGCTCTTTCAATATGAAAAAAATATATATAAATATATCTAAGTGCTATGAACATTCTGTGTAAATACAGAAGGCTTATCAGGCCTATCTGGTAACATTGTTTCTGTTTCTTGTTAGGGAGAACCTTGTTGAATATTTTATATGCTGTGTCCATATTTGCTGGACGTGTTACTGTTCTCATTAGGAATGTTCATGGTTCTCATGTCGCACAGGTTTATTCCAACGTCTTGCTCTCAAAGGCTGTACATTTTTTAATAAATAAATAGTGCAGATAAAACTAGCATTTTATGTTATGGTGTTTGCTCTTGTGGGTGATATAGAGGCTCTGTCACAGTAGCCTGAAATACTTTTATGTTTTATATAATAGAGGTTACAGCCAGCAGTATCACCTGTGGGTGGAGACTGCCCCCTCATGTCACCTAGCAACAGCATTCACCACCTGTAGTGTTGTTGCTCATGCCAGACGCAAGGCCTCTGCAAGATGCGGCAAGTGTGCGCTTATATGAATAAGTGATGTAAATAGAATACCCAGGCAGGCTCACTCCTTAAAACTGTACATGAACACTTCATCAGTGTAGAATACTTGACGGACATGCTGCGTGTGATTTTTGGAGGGTGTAGGCGTGACTTTGTGCCGTGTGGCTGGTTGTGAGATGCGGAATCTACCGCCCCTTGTCTTGTCCTGTCTGTTGGATCCTTGAGAAGTATATAATTGTAATTAGCTCTATGATTAATATTATTTTATATTGATGTGACTTTGACATGTACAAAGCCGTGAAGTGTGAGTGTGTGAAGGAAGGAGTTAGACTGCTCAGTGTATGTGTCCTCGGTTTTGCATTACTAAGTGTGAGCGTGAAATGTTCAATAAAAGAGCATTCTATACTGCAACTTGTGTTTTCTCTACCTTATATTTAACTTTGCGTATTTTTATTCTCTATTCAGGTATGTGAAGATGTATTTGTAATGTTAGTCTATGCCTAGAAAGTGGTATTGGATTTCTTCATTATTATAATTTAATTCTAATAGAAATCAGTATTCCTTTCCTCTCTCTGAAAACAGAATTATGTGTGGGGATTGATGGGCAGTTATGTCATATTCAATATCATATTTCTCCCTTTTCTCCATAAATCTTCAAAATTACCGAAATATGAATGACAATTCTGATAATGATAGGTAACAATGATAGGAAGGATGATCATGATAACTAACAAATTAACGAATTGCCAGTGACAAAATGATGCTAATGTTCACTGATGATGATGATAGAAGTATTAATTTGATTCCATTTGTTACAATGGATATTCATGGTGTGATATAGTGTGTTTCATTTTGCTTCTAAGTTATCCCCTGTGTGCAAGGAATGGCCAGGGTTGCCATCCACTGGCAGCGAGGGATTCGAAAGCAGGTCAGCGAGATTGCTAGATGAGATCGCTACTGCTGCATCACACAGCACAATAATAGCAATGATGACAAAAAAATAATAGTAACAAAGATAAGGATAATAATAATATTACAACAATAACAATGATAACTATAGTAGTAATAACAGTAATAATGATAGTAATAACTATAAAAATAGTAATGATATTGATAACAATAATAATCATAAAGATAAAAATTATGATGATAATGGTAAGGATAATTATGATGATTATAATAATGATAACAACAACAATAATAATAATAGTGATGATAACATTAATTATATTAATATCAATAATAACTAATAATAACAATAGTAATTATAAGAAAACAGGTAATAATGATGACAACAGTAATGATATTGATACTAATGATGATAATAATAATAATAATAACAATATTAATAATAATAATAATAACTGATGATATCAATAATGATAATGTTTATGATGATGATATCAATAATGATAATGTTTATGATGATGATATCAATAATGATAATGTTTATGATGATGATGATAATAATAATAATAATGATAATTATATTATTATTATTATTATTATTATTATTATTAATAACTATTAATAATATTAATAATAACAATGATGATATCAGTAATGATAATGATGATGTTAACAATAATGATGATAATAATAATGTTAATAATAATAATAATAATAATATTAATAACAATCACAATTAACTATCTTAATTGTTATTAATATTATTAAGATTGTTAGAAGTGAAGGAATTAAGCTAGCTGATGGACAAACAATGAAAGAGGTTCACTTATCTAGGTATTGTGGAATTAGATAAAATCAAAGAAATTGAAATGAAAGATACAATTGGAAAGGAATACAAAAGAAGGTTAAGGCTGGTACTAAGATCAAAGTTGAATGGGAAAAATAAGGTGTCAGCGAACAACATATGGGCCGTGGCCATATTCCGGTATGGAACGGGAATAATACAATGGAGAGAGAACGAGCTTTAAGATTTAGACAGACAAACAAGGAAAACAATGACAATGTATAGAGCTTTCCATCCGAGGAGTGATGTTGACAGGCTGTATGTGAAATGAAGAGATGGGGGAAGAGGTCTTATAAGTATAGAACGATGTGTCAAAGAAGAGGAGAGTAGTTTGAAAGTGTACGTGTCCAAATCTGAAGAGAAACTGTTAAAGGGTGTAGCAAAATTCGAGGAATTAAATGCAAGTGAATTGGAGGAGGTTAGAGACCTTAAGACAAGAAATGAAAACGAAGCGAAAGGTAGGTGGACTGGAAAGAGAATGCATGGACAGTTCGTCGGAGACTTAACAGATGATGTAGACAAGGAGAAGACTTGGGGATGGTTGTCAAAATGCGATTTGAAGGTTGGTACAGAAGCCTTGATTTGTGACGCACAAGAACAATCGATCAGGACAAATTATGTGAAGTATCACCTTGATAAAACGGCTGAAAACACCCTGTGTCGATTGTGTGGCCAAGCAGGTGAAAGTATTCAACACATCGTAAGTGCATGTGGGAAGTTAGCTCAAAAGGAGTACAAGAGGCGTCATGATAATGTAGCGAGAAAGATCCATTGGGATATATGCAAAAAAAGAGAACTGGAATGCAGTGAGAAATGGTACGAGCATGCCCCTGAAGGAGTTGTGGAGAGTGATGATGTAAAGTTGTTATGGGATGCAAATATCCAGTGTGATAATGTGATAGAGGCAAGAAGGCCAGATTTAGTCTTGGTAGAAAAGAAGGAATTACGGCAATTATCATTGACATAACAGTACCGGCGGATGCGAACGTGGCAGAGAAGAAGAACAAAAAAGTAGAAAAGTATCAGGATCTGAAAAGAGAAATAAAAAGACTATGGAAACTGAAGAAATTAGAAGACCAAAGGATTTGAGAAGTGGGTTGAAAAGTTTGGGATTCACTGCAACTTAGGAGTACTTCAAAAGACTGCGTTATTGGGAACTGCCAGGATTTTGCGAAAAGTACTGGAGATTTGAAAAAGAAAATGCTGGTAGCCCATGGTCATTTGTTATGGCCCGCCTATCAGCATAGAACTCGGCAATAAGAACAGCCAGACACAAGTGTGAAAAAAAAATAATAATATTAATAATAACAATGATGATATCAATAATGATAATGATAAAAATGATAATAATATTAATAATAATAATATTAATAATAATAATGATAACGATAATGATAATAATAATAATAATAATAATAATAATAATAATAATAATAATAATAATAATAATAATAATAATAATAATAATAATAATAATAATAATGATAATGATAATGATAATAAAAATAGTAATAATAATAATAATAGTTATTATTATTATTATTATTATTATTATTATATATATACATACATTATTATTATCATCATTATTATTATTATTAATATTACCAATTTTATTATCATTATCGTTATCATCATTACTCTCACTATTATCATTATCATCATAATTATTATTATTTTCCTTATTATTGTTACTATTAATACTATTATCATTACCATTATTATTAATATTCTTTTGATAACTATGATAATTTTCATTATGATTTTTATTGTTTTCATTACTATTATCATCGCCATCATTTATCATTATTATTATTATTATTATTATTATTATTATTATTATTATCATCACC